GAGCTAATTGATAGGTCCATGTTAGTGCCTGTGTGTGTGTGTGTGTGTGTGTGTGTGTGTGTGTGTGTGTGTGTGTGTGTGTGTGTGTGTGTGTGTGTGTGTGTGTGTGTGTGTGTGTGGATAAGATTGTGACCCTGTGCGCTGCGCTTTGGCCTGTGGTTATTTGGAGGTCAGAACTGATGTGGTCCTCGCCTGCGGGAGTGGATTTTGCTTCTTCAGCCTGATAGAGAGCAAGTCAGTCCACAGCGCAAGTCTCCAGTCAGCAGTTTATGGATGCAGGACTTATCTGGGCAAATGATGCCTACTTTGAAGAATCTAAATGATAAAACAAACTCCGTTTGGATTTTTTTTTTTTCATTGACCAAATAATGACTTAAATATTCATCTACAACACAAAGTTGTGAGAGTCACATCTAAGTATTATGATCACTAGATGTTGAGAAGGGATTTGGAGGGTGGTTAAAATGCCTGTCATATGTGTAAAAAGGGAATACAACTCGGAGTTAATATTTTCTGCCAAAGTGATAAAGAAAACAAATCAATAAGGCAAGAACTAAGTCGACACTTCAGTGGGGTCCCAAAAAAAAGACGTGACGGATGTGACGTGATCTGGCCGAAGGGCCTTGATTTCGAAACATTCATTCGATGAATGGTGCACTCACACACTTGACACAGACTCTAAAGAGACCTGTATCAAAAAGGTCATTTTTAAATCTTGTGGTGTAGAAATGCTGAAATTTAGCTAATAAGGTAACCCCAAAATATTAGCGACATGTGTCAGGATGATGCTAAAATGTTTTGGGTTTTTTTTGCCTCTATTGGATCTCATTTGGAGGATGTCGGTGTACCTAATGAAGTGTCTGTTAGTACAATACAATTTCTACAATGGACTTTTGAGTAAATCCAATGTGAAGCCCTTTCGCCCTGCAGAGATTAAACTGATGTGTGCTTTTCTAATTGGGTCGGCCTTCTTTAACCCCCAGATCTCAATTCTATCACTTTTAATTGTTTTAACAGATTTTTTTTTTCAACTCTCGGACAAATCTGCTTGATCCTGCATGTTTGGTTTGAGTTGAAAGACAAGCAATCTGCTGCCTGGATGATTGTATTATTTATTTTATTTTTTGCGCCAAAGAGTCTACCTCTCTCGAAAGAGATGACATTAGGCCACAAAGCCCTGAAGTATAACATCTCGCATAATAACAGCCAAAGCTCTTCTTGTCTACAAGTCAGCCTGACCTGATCCAGGGAATAAAAAGTCTTCATATTGCCTTTTCAAAGATAATAGTACTCCGTTTTGATTGACACTTTCATTGAGGGAAAAAATATAACAATA